CACACACACACACACACACACACACACACACACACACACACACACTAAAATACTTGGGTAGTTGTTAAATTATAAGAGTGTGCCATGTTAGAGTGAGGTTCAACACTTCCAAATACATATGTTTTTTAACTTAGAAGTGTTTTTACTGAAAAGCAAAAGGCTAAAGATTTTTATTTTCTTCAGCCAGTGTGCCAAATGTAGTGGTGTGGCCATACAAGTTACCATCTGAAAATGAAAGGTGTTATTCAGTAAGTACATGGTGACGACAGGAATAACCCATACTGTCCATCACTCTGTGACTGATGTTGCCCTTCATGTGTTTTGACTTGCAGGGGGATTCCTCAATGTCAATGTGAGTGAAATCAGTTTTGATGAAGTTCATCAGCTCTTCTCCAAGGACGTAGAGATTGGGCCAGGAGGCCACTGGAGGCCCAAAGACTGTAAGCCCAGATGGAAGGTGAGGCAATTTTCCTCAAAGGCTATGTGACAGTGACTAAGCATTTGGGGACAAGAATGTGTTTGGTTCAAAACAGAGAGCAAAATCTTTTTGAAGTTTGGATAAAATGGAAGCATGTATGTATGTATTTAATGCACAGACCTTTACAGTTTCCTCGCGGTCAGTGCCATTATTTTGAAGACTGTAAGTGCACCTGTACATGCATAGAGTGTGTGTGTTCTTGTGTTCAGGGTCTCAGGGTTTCTGGTAAAGAAGTAAGATGAGTTTAAGCTGGAGAATGGATTTCTTTTTGGTATGACCTTGTTCAGAGGAGAGGGCCATGAGCCAATGACTACTGATGCTTGTAGGTGTTTCCCACCAGTTCCTGGAACGGAGAACTCACAGGAAGGATGCTAATGTCCTCATTTTCAGTTGGGTTCAGCAGTGGGCCTGCCACGCTGTTTCTCAGTCATCACCAGAGGCCTCTCAGAAGTCATGGTCAGACTTGGAAGGGGGGCTTTGAGCTCTTCACTTGGTTATCAGAAGGCAGAGCACAGGCTCTTTTGATGGGTCAGAATTCTATTTAATATTTCGTTTGAAAAACTGTAAGGGAGCATGTCAGCCTCTTGTGCACTAAAACAAACAAACAAACAAACAAACAAAACCAAAACAACCACAAAGAAAACTGGTTGGAAGTTGCTCTCAGTACTGTGAAACTGACCCTAAGTGAAAATCTGTGTAATGGTTAGAGTCCAGCATAGCACTATGCATGCACCTGAAGTGAAAACCAGAAGCCACCAAACAGGTGTTAGGCACTCAGGATTTTGATGTGACTTTAACCTGGAAATAGTCCTTTAAAAAGAACCAGTGTTCTTCTAACATATTTGTATGTTAGTGTCAAAAACATCCCCAGCAGGGAGGAGAATTATATGCTGTTCATTGTCTGATAAAGATCCTGTGACATTATTGACTTGACCGTGAACACCTTCTGTACAGGGATGCATGCATTTCTCTCTGCATCCCTCATGTGTAGCAGAGCACTTTGCATGAGTAAACAACACAGTTTTGTTGAGTTGGCCTTATGAGATTAATAAATGCCTTTGTGGCCTTATCATTTTCTCATGACTTCAAGCAAGTTACAAAGCTGCTTCAATGCATTTCAGTACAAATTTTAGGAAAATATTCTATTTTATAATTGCATAAATGAATTTTCATATTTCTTGATAGATCCTCTGAACAGTTGTATCTATATGAAACAGTCTACTTTAGAAAATGTTCTTGGAAAATGGGCTATTTTTAATAACTGAAGAAAAGAGTATATGTTGAATGCTGTGTAAGGAAAAACATGGAGGGACAACATGGAGGCTAAGACATAAACAGGACACATGCGCATCGTACTGGTGGGATAGCTTGGGATCAGAAAACTTGTTCATTCTGCTTACTGTGGTTTGTACTGGATAGGTCTTACATTTCCTAGCATATTTTCTTTTACTTTCCGGGACAGCTGGAACCACAGGGGTCATTCTTAATTAGAGCTTTAGTGGGCTGTGTACTCACATGACTGAATAGGACTGGAGGAATTCCTGGGAGCAAAGTAATTTAGGGATTAAAAAATTTAGCTTCCTTTATGTAGGTGTGTATGATAGTGCTAAGTTCAGCTTTGAGCCACTTTAGTGAGTGTATTAGTTAAGGTTCTCTAGAGAAAAAGAACTTATAGAATGAATATATATGTGTATATATATTCATATATGTGTGTATATATGTGTGTGTGTGTGTAGATGGGATTTATTAGAATGGCTTATAGGCTAGTCTAACAATGGCTGTCTACCAATGGAAGGTCCAAGAATTCAGTAGTTGCTGGATGTCTCAGCTGGTCTTCGGTATATGCCGGAATCCCAAAGAAGTAGGCTCTAATGCCTGTGAAGGAATGGACATGCCAGTGAGAAAGAGCAAGCAGGCAAAGAGAGCAAGCTTTTTTTCTTCTATGTCCTTTATATAGGCTGCCAGCAGAAGGTGTGGCCCAGATTAAAGGTGGATCTTCTCACCTCTAGAGATCCAGTTTAGAAGTGGGTCTTCCCACTTGAAATGATTTAATTAAGAAAAAAATTCCTCCCAGGTGTTCCCAGCTGCTCGAGCTTTCGGTAATTCTAGATGTGGTCAAGCTGACAACCAAGACCAGCCATCACAGTGAAAATGTAGTCTTTAGTTTTAAGTTGAACTTAAACAACAGGTTTAAATGTAAAGATGCTTGAAGGTCCTTCAAAGGTGAGCTACACTTGCCATGTTTAATTTCCCTCTGCCTTTGCCTGCCATGTATGATTCTAATGATGCCCCATCCTTATGACATAGAATTCCGAGGGAAGAAGAAAGCAGTTATTAGATACATGCTAAAATCTGCTCTCCACGTGAGTCTTAATCTTTGAGGCTCCCTGTCTCTATTTTTTTTTTTAAATACCAAGTCAGTTTGTACTGCCACCTGCCAATATTAGAGAGTCCAGAACTCTCTGGGTATTCCTGATACTGCAGGGTTGAGAGGAAGAGTCTTCAAAGGTCAGGCATCTTACGGAGGTAGTCATGTTTCCACAGGGGACTTGGAGAGAAACAAATTGGTGCTTTTCAGGTGGTTAGCTGTGATGATGCCTTTCCACGCAGGGTTCACGTGAAGTCTGATACCTACAGGCTAAGGTTTGATGATATTGTCCTAATTAGAGGCTCAAAGTTCCTCATCTCACCCCAGGTCCCTCAGGGATGGGTCTTAACTACCTGCTTCCGCCTACATGAGATGTTCAGTAACACAAGCCAATTCTTGAACGAAGTCATCAGACATACTCGTCTAGAGGGAACAGACAAGAACTGCCCCTCTCTTCTTTATCAGGCTGAAATTTGTTCCTGTGGGCACTGGAGATGAGGAAGAAGAGGGAGGTAGAACTAAAACATCCCAGGAGAATGAGAGCTCAGTAGCTCACCCTCACTTCCATCTAATTCAGTGCCAACAGCTAGCTGGACTCTAAACCAACCTAGTGTAAAGCTGTGCCACGCTGGGTCATGTAGATGGTGGTGCGCTTCAGCATGTGTGGCAGGGGCGGGAACTTGCTGGGAGAAGTCTACATGGCAGGCATTCTCTTGATCGTCTCTTCATAGTGAACTTAAGAGGACATAAGCGGAATGGAGGGAGGGGAGGCGTGCATGGATAATTCAGTAAGATTAGTGGTCTTGAAATGGGAAGTAATTTTTCTTGAACAAGAGGTGGTGAGGAAGGACTTAGAAACATAAAGTGTAGAAGGTGGTGAGCAAATGTCCTCCATCTCCCCTGGTCCGTCCACAAGAGAGGGGCTTCTGCAAGTCCACGCGTGTGGAAGGAAGGCTGATAACCCCCAACATGAATGACCATGGGACACGGCACTCTCTTTCTTGACAATAAATTACAAGCTATTAAGAATATTGCTCCACGGGTAAGAATGTCAAGTGAATTTTCATGATATTATCTAACTTCATTTTAATTAACACACACACACAGAGAGAGAGAGAGAGAGAGAGAGAGAGAGAGAGAGAGAACTTTAGGCCAGTCACTTAAAATGTGATAGCATCTGATTGTGACTTGGATGTGCATTTACTATTAAAATGTCACGCTTAGCTCCTTTTGTTTGCCAGGGTACTTTCTTTTCTAACATTCTCAGTTTCTTACTAAGATAAAAAAAACAACCAACAACAACAAACCTCCAAACCCAAACCAGCTCTTGGTATTTTAGGTGCTGCACTGAAGAACACACTCGACTAAGGGCTGTCACTTGGTATTTGCTGATCCTTACATGTTCACCTCCTCAGCCTGATTGTATTTCATTCCCACGGGTGATCTTTAATACAGACTTTGACCCATTTGGTGGCTTCTTCGCTTATGTATCTACAATTTTATTTTTTTTAAGATTTATGTGCGTGCATGAGTTCAGATAAGAATGTCAGATCCCCTGGAGCTGGAGCTGGAGTTATGGGCAGTTGTGAGCCACTTAAACCATGTGTTGGGAATGGAACTCAGGTCCTCTGAATGAGCAGCAAGTGCTCTTAACCACTGAGCCATCTCTCTAGCCCCTATAATTTGATTTTTTTTAAGTGTATTTATTATTTTGTGTATGAGGTGGGTGGCATGTGTGCTGTGACATGGGGGAGGGGCCAGGGGACAACTTTCCAGTGCTGGTTTGTCAGCAATTCTGATGTCTCATCTCTCATTTGCTTTCGGAGCCTGTTTGTATGATGTCACAGGCCGGCAGCTTGCGGCCAGAGGCAAAGCCAGGAGGGGTAGATTTTGCTGCACCTCCCACTGATAGACCTCGGGTAAGGGACACAGTAAGCACATAACCCTCACCATGTGACTTGTCCTCCCCTTGGACTTTCCTGAGCCCTCCCTGCATCCACTGTGAGCCAGGGCCCCGTGAGCTGGTTGGCTGCTGGTTGATTTAGGAATTCCTCACATGTGCCGACCATGCCGAAGCCCAGCAGTCCCCGCTGAGCACCTTCAGTACTCACCGCGTGGGGACTAGGGAGGGCGTATTGATGCTGCTGTAGCATCATCCAGGTCCTCACGGTCCTGAGCGCAGAGATATCTTCTGGGGATCATCGCATGGGAGTGGTGTCCACAGGGCATCAGAATCACGGTGGGTCCTGTGACTTGTCGAATGTAACACCGCCAATGGCAGCGTGGAGATGCCAGCCTCTCAGACCGTCACATCAGTGAAGGAAAGAAGCGTGGCCTTTCTAGTCTAGACGCCCTCACATTTACTAAGCGGAGTCTTCTTCTCCTTCTAAGGAAACCCTTGACTCAGTCTTGTCCCGTTTGCAACTCTGGCAATACACGTGGCTAAATGTCATGTTTGTTTGTTTGTTTTCTTTTTCTGGTGTTGGGAACTGAATCCAGGACCCACGCATACCAAGCATGTGTTTCACCTCTGACTACACTCCAGCTCTGCTGTTGATTTTTTTGTTGGTGTTAACAATGTCTAAGGTCATGTCCTGATTTTACAAGTAAAATGAGTCCCGGAACTTAGCATTCTCAATTATTTGTAGTTTTTGTTCGTTTGGGTTAATATATTTGGTCTAAATAAAAATTTCAACAAACTCCAGGTTTATGGCTCTTTCAGAATACAGAATACAAAGTGGTATAGACACGTTTTAATAACCTTTTCATTTGTTAAATTGTTTGAAAATTTGGTGATTTTGGGAATTTATCGTGTATAGAAAATTTGCTGTGTTGATATCAAGTTTTAATAACAAGTTAACAGCTATAATGAAGCCAGTTTAACTCAGAAGTTAAGGAAAGTGAATTAGAAGATGCTTTAGCTTTGGGAAGGTCAGAATCTGACCTATAAGATTTTGCTTCTCTGGCAAAGTTTGAATCCTAGAAGTTGAGAGTGTGTGTATGGGGGGAGGCAGTGAGTGATGCTTAAGAATTGTTCAGAATGTACCTGAAGCAAGGGCCGCACCTGTGTGAGCACTCGGCGTGAGTCTGATGAGAATATTCAAAGCTGTGACTTGAAGGCACCAGCCGTCTCCGAGGCTGTGCTGTTGTGTACACTTGCAGGGCTTGCTGAAACACTGCCTTACTCACACCGCAAGTGTTCTGTTCTGTTTTAAAGGTGGCAGTTCTCATCCCCTTTCGGAACCGCCATGAACATCTTCCGATTTTTTTCCTGCACCTGATTCCAATGCTCCAGAAACAGCGGCTGGAATTTGCCTTTTATGTCATCGAACAGGTGAGGACACTTTTCAAAATGCCACTAAATATTCTAGAACTTTGTAGCCAGAGTTTCCCTGTCCTGACTGCCCGGTCCCAAATAACTGACTCAGAGGCTGAATATTAATTACAAATGCCAGCCCATAGCTCAGGTTTATTACTAACTGGCTCTTACAACTTAAATTAACCCATTTCTATTCACCTACATTCAGCCATGTGGCTGGTGGCTTTATCTGTCCTCCAGCATGTCCTGCTCCCTCTGCGGCTCCTGCTGTTTCTCCTGACTCCGCCCTTCTTCCTCCCAGAGTCCTCCATGTCTGGCTGTCCCACCTCTACTTCCTGCCTGGCTAGTGGCCTGTCAGCGTTTTACTAACCAATGAGAGTAATACATATTCACAGTGTACAGAGGGATTGTTTCACAGCAGACCTTCAACTTGAGATGGAGTTTGATTAAGACTACTCAGCCAAGGTCCTTGGGTGACTTATCCTAGATTAGGATTAGGGTTGAATAAAATCATATTTGGGATTGAACCTGTATTTTTTTTTCTCATAATAATTGCAATTTGGTCAAATGAATTGAGCAGAGATTATGCTCGACTTTGAAATGATAGCTTTGATATGTATTTTATGGCTTTATACTGCCAATTGGATTGTCAAACTGGTTTATAAGTAACTGGATGATGTTCATCCTACAGGATTAAAGGTTAAACTTGTAACATTGTTCCACTTCTGCTTTTCTTATATTTATGAATTTGCTTTTTTCTTAAAAACCTCCATGAAGGGCAATTTACTTGGGGACATTGCTTCTTTTATAATACAGGAAACTCAGGGGTATTTGGTCCTGTGCAGCTGTCTGGGGCTCATGATGGTGCATATCGGCGTGTCATCAATGGCCTGTCCTATTCTGAATTATGCATGCATTCATTATGTGAATGACCTCAGACATACCCACTGTGTTTTGTTTTGAAAGTGCTTTCCATTTCTGACCTATTAATTTAAATACATAAAGTGAAGGATAAAGGTATCATATTGTTTTTCCAACGTGAAGCATTGATAATTCTTGATGGGAGGTTCGTTTGTCTGGGGGAACTACTGCTGGCTAGCTTTGAAAGCTAATATTGTCTCAACCTTATTAGGTAATTAAGGGTGCCTTAGTAGAGCCAAGTAGTAATCCTTAAAGAGAGAATGGTATGTAATGGACATTTTCTGTTCTGTCTTTATAGTTTTCCATTTTCATAATTACGTTTCTTGGGGGCAGAGCCTTGGTTGTTTCTGTTGTAGACCCACATTTATAGCTTGTCAGCTGCCCTTAGGCCGACGTGAGCGATAGAACACTATCCCTTTCACGGCAGAGACCAGCTCAGTAAGGAAAGGCTCATCCAATGACTGATAAGGCAAAGAAATTACATAGAGAATCAAGCCTGTGATGCCCAGGATCCCTTCCAGATAGGAATCTAGAGTTCTTTCAGAATAAGAGATACCCAGGAAGAGAGTAGAATTAATAAATAAATAAGCATTGGCAAAGCAAAAATCAAAACAAACAAAACAACTTCATTCCATTTGCCTTGAACGGATGCTATGCAAGCTGGCATAATCTACATCAGACTGAAGTGACCTTGCCTTGGTGTCGCAGTCCGTGTCTGTTTAAAGACCATGAGTGTAACGAAAGAATTTGGTTCTTTTATTTATATTCTTTTGTAAAGCGCTGTCTCAGAAACCTAAAATAGTGCACTAACCCTCGAAGAGAGAGATCTCTACTGATTCAGGCCTCTCTTTCTGTAACCTCAGCAGTAGGCAGTATACTTTGTACTGATATATACTGACCATTTCATGTCTGTTGCTGTGATAAAATACCCTGACAAAAGGCCACTCAGAGGAAAGAACTTATTTTTAGCTCACAACTCCACCTTATAGTCCATCATGGCAGGGCCTTAAAATAGTCATTACTCCCACAGTCGGGAGTTAAGAATAAGAGAGTATGTGCTCACCTGCTGGCTGGCTTAGCTGGCTCCCTTTTCTCCACTCACCCAGCTCCAGACAGGCAGGAAGCAGTGCCACCTACAGTGTGGGCTGGCTCTACCCACACCAATTAACTTAATTATGATCCCCGCGAACATGCCCATGGGCCGACCCAGTATAGACGGTCCCTCACTGAGGCTCTGTTCTCGGGTGATTCTAGGTTGTGTCAAGTGGACAATTAAAGCTCGCCATCATTCTGGCCCTTCCAATCACCTTGCAGTCTTTCCCACACTTGTCGTGGTTAAGGAGTCTGTAGAGTCTTGTTGCATCTTTCATTTTCCCTACTGATTAAAGGTGTTGGTCATTTTTTCTTTTTTATGTCTTTGCTGTTCATGTAGATTAGGAAGTCTCTGGTTAGTCTTTTTCTGTTGTTTTAATGGAAATGTCTTTTTGTTGGGTTGCAGAATTCTTTGTGTATTCTAGTTGTAAGTCTTTTGTGAGTCATGCTTGGTGAGTATTCATCTTCAGACTGTGGTCTGCCCTTTATTTTCTTGATAGTGTCTGTTTTCTTCCCCTTCCATGCTGGGATCGAACCCTGGGCCTTGCACTGCTATTTAAGTACTCTACCACTGAGATGCACCCCCAAGCCCAGGCAGGGTTTTATTGAAAAGTAAAGGTTTTAGTTTTAATAAGGTTCATTTATTTGATTTTTTTCATAGTTCCTGCTTCTTGTTTTGAGGTTGAGAATGGTTCTCAGATACTTTCAGAATGTTTTCCTCCAGAACGTTTGTGGTTTTAACTCTCCCATTTGGGCTAATCCCTCTGAGTTAATCTTTATATGTGGTGTGAGGTAAGGATGGAGGGTTGGGTGTTTTTCTTTTGGCCTGTGGGTCTTTGGTTATTTCATCACCATTTATAAAACAGCTCATCTTTTTTCTCATTAGCCCCTTTGTTGGAAGTGGGTTCTTCCTTGTGAGTTTAATAACCTAACAGACCTTTATCTCTCACTTCTTCAGAGAGGAGACAAAGCCATGCATACCCCTGGATACTCTGGCTTTCTGGGGTCTCTTCAGTTGTCCTGTGCTATCAAATGTGTGTCCCTGGCTTAGTATTGATCAAGTCTGAGATTCAGACATAACAGACTTGAGAGTTAAAATGCACATCTCAGGTGCTCTGGTAGATGTCTTCATCACATACTCAGTCATTCAACAGCACCAAACTCCAGGGAGTGCTCACCTCCTGCATGTTATGGGTGAATGATGTTTCAAGGAGGATAACTATCAGTTTCTGATCACAATGTAGATTCACAACTACAGCCATCATGAAAGTAGGTTAAAATTCTGACTTGTTATAATTTTTTAAAAGGTCAATTTTTATAGGATTAGTTGCCATGTCGGAAAGTACACATGCTTGGGCCAGGCATCAGTGCACACGCCTTTAATCTCAGCACTTGGGAGGCAGAGGCAGTTGGATCTCTGTGAAAAGGCCAGCCCAGTGTGTACAGGGAGTACCAACCAGGCAAGACAGAACTACACAGTGAGACCCTGTCTCAACGGGGGTAAGGATAATACACAAGCTAGAGACATGCTAACACATGCACTAGGGATAAAACTTGAAGGGTCATATTAACCACACTTTGTTCATTATTAATTTTGTTGTATATTCTACTGAGAATGGAGGAGACATTACAAAAGAGCTTCTTATAGAAACAGGCAAGCACATTTAATGGAACAGGACAGAAAGTGCAGAACTCACTTCCAACAAAGGGCTAACTAGGAAAAGATTAGCTCTACTATAAATGGTGATGAAATATCTCCTCCACAGTCAAGAGCAGAGAGAGATGAATACACTCATACCTGTTTCTCCTTGTCTTCTCTGTTCTCATATAGTTCAGGACCCAAAGCCAGGGAATGGTACTGCCCACAGTGGGCTCGGTCTTACCATGTTAATCAGTGCAATCAAGGTAAATCTTCCACAGGCATGCCCACAGGCCAGCCTGACCTGTAGACAACCCCTCATTGGGGCTCCTCATCACACCAACTAAAGCCCCTTACTGTTCTGGAAGGGAGAGACAGTAAATTTTCATGTCATGTGCAGACGGCTCTAAAGAAAAACCAGTGGGTTCTATGTAGAGAACGAGCCATAGGTGAAACGGGAAGGAAACAAGGAGACCAGTTAGAAAGCTTCTGCAGTCGTCAAGAAGGGTATGAAGATGACTTGGGCGCTGGTGGCACAGGACATTGTCAACAGTGGTTGGGTCAGGTTTTAATTAGAGTAGAATTATTTAATGATACAATGATATGCAGTGTGAGTACTAGGGAGATCTCCTTGGCTTTTTAGTACTTTAGTCTTAGACATGAATAGGCAGCCACCAAGCTCCAGGTTTTAAAGAAAATGTCTACAAAGGAGACACAGTCAAGTGAGGTAACGAGCGAACAAAGAAACCCCAAAGACAGAATCAACAAAGACTCACAATCGGGATCCATGGAGCTAAGGGCAAAGTGAAAGATCATTTCTGAAATGAGAATGGTTTGCTGTAAAGGAAGAGCAATCAGACTACAATGTCAGTGGAACTGAAATGTGGTAGGTGAAAGCTTTTGAAAGAACAGCTGGGAGACAAAATAACTCCTACAGTAGAACTAAAACATAAGGAAGTAGAGTATAAAAGCACTTCACCTGTGTGAGGATAACGGTCCTCCGAGAGCCCATGGGATACAAGATAAGCTGCCCGAGGAACCACTACACAGAAGTAGTCTTGACTGGAGAGTAGGTCATTGGCACAGGCTCTCTGCTCTGCTCAGAAGAATTCCATTTCTATAGATGACGTGCTCAGCATCGTAAATGACCACTGGCCTGTTTTATTTCTGTTCATTTTCCCTGGTACTAGGGATCCAGCACCGTCAATGAGTTATATCTCCCACCTATGGCTTTTCTTAAGTCACCAAGTTTTGCTGAGATTTTTAATATGTTAATGTACAACTAATACACTCACTCATCAGAATTCTGGAAGAACCACAGCAGAAAAAAATTTTAGGAGTGTGGAAGGAAAGGGCTAAAGAAAAAAAAAATAGAAGAAAAATTTCCAAAGCTGGGCATGGTGGTACACACCTTTAATTCCAGCACTTGGGAAACAGAGGGAGAGAGGTCTTGGTGAGTTCAAGGCCAGTCTGCGCTACATAGAGAGTTCCAGGACAGCCAGGGCTACATAGAGAGACCCTGTCTCAGAGAAAGAGTGGGAGAGAGGGAGAGGGAGGGAGGGAGGGAGGGAGGGAGAGAGAGAGAGAGAGAGAGAGAGAGAGAGAGAGAGAGAGAGAGATTTCCAGAATCAATAAGCATGTGTCTTTGTGTGAGACACCTCACAATGCACATGTGAATAAATCACACATCCATTATAAAGCATAGTATTTTCTAATTTTAGGATAAAAATGAAAAAGAAAAGGTATTAAGAAGACTATAGGAAAAATGACTGGTAGGAATCAGGAATGTATGAGCTATCCTGCCATTGCAGGTGGCTAGAAGCCTGACTTACAGATTCTGGAGAAAGAAAGGTAGTTTGTCCCAGAACTTTCTACCCAGAATGTCAATACAAGGGTAGAGTGTGGTGTTTTCAGTCATTTGTTGATGAAATACACATACACACACACACACACACACACACACACACACACACACACACACAAAAGCACACATGAGTGTGCTTTTAAAAGAACCTTCTGAAAGACATACCTCAGCAAATTAAGTAAGCCACATAAAAGACAGGGGTGACCAAGAGCGTGAAGCAGCAGGCTGGATGAGAGCCACATGACTGGCCCGAGAGGACAGTGGGGATTGACCTGAGGAGACAAGGAGCTGAGAGAGGATTTGAAATGTCTGTAATTACATCAGTTACTAAAGGCGTAGCTTATATCGACTGTCCTTTCTAGTTATACAGAAAACTAGTTCATCTCTTTCACAAAGGAAAAAAAAATCAATTCACTCAGCACTGAAGAAAATTTGTACACGGTGCTAATAATGTACACCTCATTAATTTAACCAAAAATCCAAGGCAACCATATTGGGAGGTGGGAGGGAAAGGCAGAGATAAGGTTTAACTCCTCTGCTTCCAGAGTAGGAAGTCTAGAAAATGTCTAAAGTTAACCAAGCAAGAGATAGCATCCAGGCGTGGACAGGGACGCCAGAATAAACATGCCGAAGAGTTGCGGCAGTGCGCTATTGGCTGAGGAAGATGGGTTAGATTCCTCCGAATAAACTTCTAAGTATCGTGTCCACATTTAAGAGAAGCAGATTCTAAGACTTTAGAAAAAACAGTTTATCAAAGCCGATACTGACGTGCCAAAAATAATGTTGTAATTTCCCTTCCTTTCCTTGTAAAAGCAGTGTGCCTTCTGTGACCTCGGGTTCGTGTGGAACCTGCACCCCCACACTGAGTGATGCCTCTCCCAAGGCCACACTCTGATGCCGGCTGCACTGAGTGGTTTCTTCACTCCTGCCCAAATCCTGATGTTGGGGGATGGTTTTGTAAAAATTGTAAGGCGTTTGTCCATGTCTTTCATCGCCCTTAGATGCCCAAGCAAGCTCTGCTGTTTGCAGCCGACTTGTATCATCATGACGAATAAAGGAAGGTGGTTGCAGCAGAGGAACTTGGATTTTGTGTAATGAGTTCCTCTGTTGTGTCCGTTACAATGTTCTTGTCTTACGATAAGCAGGAACAGAGGGTAAAAAAAGAAACTGTTGCAGTGCACTGTAATGTAGGATGTCTACAGGAGGAAGGAAGCTGGGTGTGTATTGTCGAAAATGCTCTCGGTGGACTGTAAACATCAAGGCTTCAAAGCCCTTCAGAGTGCATCTGTCCTTTCAAGAGGATGCCCATCTTTGTTTTGTAGAGGATGGTCTGCTTGTGAGTCGCCTTCAGTTTCCTGCCTTCATCTTTTCCCCATCCCCCAGGTTAGGGAGCAAACCCAGGATTCCAAGCATACTAGGCAAGCATTCTTATCACTGAGCCCCACCCTCTCCCTCCTATCTTAATAAAAATTGTTTATTTTTATTACGTTAGGTGGGTGTGTGCAGTTGAATGCAGGTCCCGAGGAGGTCAGAGACGTCAGGCTCCTTGGAGCTGGAGTCACAGATGGTTGTGGACTGCATGACGTGGGTGCTGGGAACGCACTCCGTGCCTCTGTAAGAGCAGACGGGGCGCTTGAGTGCTGAGCCACCTAGCTGCGGAGCACCACCTCGCTCTTCATTTTTAATATCATAGACAGCAACAGTAGAAAGTACTTTTTTAAAGTTGTTTTCACGTGTTCTTTGGTGTAAATTTTTTATTTTATCTTTATTTTTGGGTCAGACATAATCTGTGAGCTGGCATATTTGAAGTAAAGCAGAAATGCAAGTTGATGTGTTCACATATTTGCAGTGTTCCAGTAGAGTGGATAGTAACAGCTATCCGGTTTCTTCTTTGTCATCAAAATGCATCCTAAGTAAATTTTTTTTTTTTTTTTTTTTTTTGGTTTTTTGAGACAGGGTTTCTCTTGTGTAGCTTTGCGCCTTTCCTGCAACTCACTTGGTAGCCCAGGCTGGCCTCGAACTCACAGAGATCCGCCTGCCTCTGCCTCCCGAGTGCTGGGATTAAAGGCATGCGCCACCACTGCCCGGCTACATCCTAAGTAAATTTAAACAGTCTGCAGCCCTGTGCCCTGTGACGGCATCATCAGTCAGCAGCATTGTACACGTGTTATGGCTCTCCCCAGGGTGTATCGCCCCGTGATAGAGCAGCCATAATTTGTGTATGACTCTCTAGTGTCTGTACAGTGTTGGTCACTCAATGACGCCTCAGAACGAACCCTCCATTGGTAAGTGGTGCCTGGCCATGTTTGGAAAGCCTGACATATGCTTCTGACTTGTTTATTTCACTACCAAGATATAATTATTCCTTGACCATGATACGACAAATTAAGAAGTGATGGAAAATATCACATGACCAAGTCTGAGTACATTTCTGATTTTCTCTGCTCTGTGGAGACCGGCACACAACCGTTCAATCGTGCGATGCTCTTTAATGTGGGTTTCAAAGAGGCCATGAAAGACAACGCCTGGGACTGTGTGATCTTCCACGATGTGGATCATCTGCCTGAGAATGACCGGAACTATTACGGATGTGGAGAGATGCCGCGTCACTTTGCAGCAAAGCTGGACAAGTACATGTACATGTGAGTAGCATTCCACTCTTGATGCTGTACAGTGTACTTGTAACAGCACACTGGGACTTACTCTGAGACTGCTCAGGACCCTGAGGGATATCATACCCCCATCCCAGCATGTGCTAGGGAGCCAGGACAAGGACTGGTTTGTCCATTTGCGATCCCACAGAGGTTGAATGTGGCATGATGGGAAAGAACCTGGCTCCTATAGTAAGCACATAGATTTAAAAGTGGGTTCTTACCCCTCAGGGCTTGCTTAGTCTCAGGGTCCTCTCAAGGTGGCTTTTCTTCTCCCTGGACAATTGAGACCATCTGTGGGGCTGCTTTCTGGGATCACATACCCTAATCCTAGCTCACTGTGTGCTTGCTGTTTGACCCATGCTGGCTCCTTAGGGATGGTTCAGGGTCCAGACCTGCCCTTCTGCAGACCACCTGTTCTGTAATTATATGAAGCAAATGTCCCCCTCCCCGTGTGTGTGTGTGTGTGTGTGTGTGTGTGTGTGTGTGTCTGTGTCTGTGTGTCTGTGTGTGTGTGTCTGTGTGTGTGTCTGTGTCTGTGTCTGTGTCTGTAGGCAGGTATATATGCACGTGTGTATGCATCTGAAGTCCAGAGCTGGCTGTCCTGTATCTTCCTCAGTTTTTTTCATCTTATTTTTTTATTTTTTTGGTTTTTCCTGGATCTTGCTCTGTAGATCAGGCTGGCCTCGAACTCACAGAGATCTGCCTGCCTCTGCCTCCCGAGTGCTGAGATTAAAGGAGTGCACCACCACCGCCTGGCCCCATCTTATTTTTGAACCTGGAGTTTACCAAGTGGTTTAACTGGATGGCCAGCAAACCTCGGGGACACGTCTCATCCCCAGAGCTGGGACCACCGGCCCAGCTTTTTATGTGGGTGCTGGGGATTCAAACTCAGTTCCTCATGCTTACATGGCAAGCACTTTGTATAGTGAGTCATCTCCCCAGCCCCCTAGAAATATCTTCATTGCACAAGTAATTGCTACTCTAAGTATACAATCTGAAGCGGTCAAGTCAAAGTTAATGATCCAGTATTGACAGAAGGTTCGGGCAAAACACAAGCAGATGACTCAGACAGGAACTTCTTAGGTATGCCTTACCATGGATAGTGCCACCTCATGTAACCAGATATCTGCCTTTTTTAAGGGCAGTTTTGATTGGCATATCCATTGCATGCACACAATTACACGAAGACATTCTTGTATAAGTGCATCATACTGAGGACTCTGTTCTCCTTCCTTCCTGCCTCCTCCCCCTCCTGATTTTCTCATTCCTTCCCCCAAGAGAGTTATGCTCCCACATAGATATGCTCTTACGTATCTCCATAAGGGGTAGGGTTCTGCAAATGAGAGAAATTGTGTAATGTTTGTCTTTCTGAGTTTGACCTACTTTGCTTAATATAATGCTGTCTAGTGTATCCATTTTCCTCTGAACCAGTGTTTCTCAGCCTGTGGATTGCAACCCCTTTGGGGATCAAATATCAGATATCCTGCATATCGGAGATTTACATTACTACTCATAGCAGTAGCAAAATTAGTTATGAAGTAGCAATGAAAATAATCTTATGGTGTGGGTCACCATAATATGAGAAACTGTATTGAAGGGTCGCAGCATTAGGAAGGTTAAGAACCATGCTCTAAACAGTGCATTTTTTTTTCTTTTATGGCTGACTAAAAACCCACATATTTTTGCACACATATTTTAAAAAGTGGCAACAAGTGCTGGTGAGGGTGTAGGGAAAAGAGAAGGTAGACATTGCTGGTGGGAATGTAAGTTAGCCCCGCTGTCATGGGAATGAGCATGAAGCTTCTTCAAAACCAGCAATTCCTGGGACATAAATCACAGCCAATTCTTTGGAGCCATCCAGAGGTTTAGATGCAGGTGGAAGCTTGTTAAGAAGTCACAAAGTTGTAAGTAGAGGATGGTAGCAGAGGGATGGTGGCAGCCATTCAGGGTCTGGGCAGGAGGATGCCGAGCATGGCCGTCACTGTGAGCATCCTTCTTCCCAGAATGCAATTCCCAAAAGGTTTCCTCGATAGCGCCCCCTCCACAGGCACGTACACAAATAAACAAATGTAATAAACATTCAAAATGTTTGAGTTTGACCAACTCCTAGGAATTTGAGTTAGAGAAAGTAGGGAAAATAAAACCTAAATTAAAAATAAGGGGTATTTGTAGCAGGAATCTTACAAGTTCTTATTAATAAAATCAAACCTGAGGCGAGTTATTGGGGTCCATGCTGGTAGATCAGAGAGACAGAACAAGCCACAGCTATCTCACCTTGCCATTTCCTCAGCTGGTCTTGTTTCCCCAGACTGGAAGCTTCTGTGTCCTCATCCCAATGAATCTCAGCTGAACTGCTGCTCAAAAGCCTGAATGCTTAACCAGCCAAAATCTTAACCAGCCAAATGCCTCTAGTTTCTGGTCCTCACGCCTTATATATCTTTCTACTTTCTACCACCACTCCCTGGGATTAAAGGCTGGCTTTCTGGGATTAAAGGCGTGTCACCATGCTTGGCTATTTCCAATGTGGCCTTGAACTCACAGAGATCCAGAGGGATTTCTATCTCTGGAATGCTAGGATTAAAGGTGTGAGTGCCACCATTTTCTAGCCTTTGTATCTAGTGGCTGTCTGGTCTCTGACCCCAGATAAGTTTATTAGAGTACACAATATTTTGGTGAACACAATACCACCACAGGTATTTTTTCCTCGGAATACCAGCCCACTAAAAATAACTGTGTTTGGAGCTGGCGAGAGGGCTGAGCAGACCTATGGCAAGTCTGATGACCTGCGTTTGATCTCTGGGACCCGCGTGGTAGAAGAGAAAGCCGACTCCTACAAGTTGTCCTCCTACAGGGCTCCTACAAGAAAACCTGACCCTCTACAGGGCAGCATGGTATCCCCCATAATAAACATGTGGAAAATGTTTTAAAATTATATATTAAATATCTACGAGTATTTTGTGAGTTTAATCCAAATAGATAGAGTACTTTTACAAGTAGCAGTTCATGTCAAAATTAAACATGTATTTCTTCCTGATTTATATTTATTCTGTTCCATGTAACAAATAATATGCTTATAAATAAAATCAGTTAATATTTTAAAATGCTTTTAGTTTAGCAAGATCTAGCATTCCATTGACAGTTACTAGCATGTTTAAACACATTTTTTGGTGTGAGAATAATATGCACTTTTTGAACCCTGGGTTTTGAGTCATAAAACAAAAGTACTATTAAATTTCAGTTGCCATGTATGTTTTTATTTTACATTTAATGTAAATACTTGCTTTGCTGTTCTGTGAGAATGTTTCATTTCTCTGGTCACATTTTCCAGAATAATTTCCCTCCCCCCCCCCCTAAATCATCTTGTTTTTGTGAAACCAGAAGTGTGTGTCAAAGCTTTATGAGAGGTGGAGCGTGAGTGGCCGGCTGTGCGGGCCGATGTGGACCACTGGGTCGTGATCTCTTTTGCAGTCTTCCGTATAAGGAGTTCTTCGGCGGGGTGAGCGGCCTGACCGTGGAGCAGTTTAAGAAGATCAATGGCTTTCCCAACGCCTTCTGGGGCTGGGGAGGAGAGGACGATGACCTCTGGAACAGGTGTGGTGAGGCCCAAGTTGCTTAGTAATTGAGTTTCTAAATTCTGTAGACTTTGTAAATCACATCTGTCTCTTCTAAGAAAGGAGACTTTGGGCTGGAAAGTTTGGAGTTCTTAAATCTGTTTTTGTTCTCCTTTTTCGTTCTGAAATTCATTCAGTCCATTTTATATTGCCTTGCAGAGTTCACTATGCTGGGTATAATGTCACCCGGCCCGAGGGGGACTTGGGAAAATACACATCTATCCCCCATCACCATCGGGGAGAAGTACAGTTCTTAGGGCGGTAAGTTTAATGGTCATCTTAAGACTTCTGGGCTTCAAAACTAATATACTGCATGTTTAAAGAAGATAAATAGAAGGAAGTTACTTCTGTGATCAAAGGTCTCTTTGGCAAATGTTTCTGGATTGCTGTTAGTGTGTGTGTGTGTGTGTGTGTGTGTGTGTGTGTGTGTGTGTGTGTGTGTTGTGTATATAGAAAGATACAGACTGATAAATGTAGACAATATATGTTTATATTCTTATCTAGTTTACTGCTTTTTCTGTAGGTATAAATTACTAAGGTATTCTAAGGAGCGTCAGTACATCGATGGATTGAACAATTTATTATACATGCCCAAAATACTGGTTGATAGGTTGTATACGAATATATCTGTAAACCTCATGCCAGAGTTAGCTCCAATTGAAGACTATTAAAAAGAAGTCTCTCGTGGTGGGGTAGACCACAGTGCTGGATTGTGAACTTGGCTTGGAGTGTACTCTCCAGGAGGTTAGAGATTGACATGTCTCAGTGTCCCAGTCTGTGAAAAGAGCCAGCAGTCCTTAATGTTTACAGCGTGGGACTCCATACCATCACACTCCCCACTCTCCTCCCTGCTGGGGGGCGTCCTCCATGGCAAGCATTGTGGAGACCTGAACCCATTGCTTGGGATTGGAAGCGAAGAGAGCTCCCTACAAAGAGAAGATTTTTATACTGAAATCTATAATTTAATTCAAGAGAATGCTTTTATTTCTGTTCAAACCATATTTTGTACATATGTGATGTAAATTAAATGTGTTTAAATTGTTGAAAAATAAGATGTCACAATTTTGCATGTGATTGGTTATGCCTTCATTGGACTTTTATAGACATTTTTTTATTTGCATGGGGAAAATTATGTAAATCTATGTCTCGAAGCAAAGGTTGAGCCTTGTATGGCGTGAAGGAAGTACCAGCGATGGATACAGTAACTGTTCTCTGGTGTTCAGCTTTAGACCTTCGGCCTCCTGTGGGCGCAGGCCCAGCCCTCTGAGGGCACTGAAGGAAAGAGCGAAAATGCGCACAGCTTTTCTTCCTGCCAGAATTACCTGGTTTTGTTTTGTTCTGTTCTGTTTTTCCTTGCTTGCAATCTCATCAGATTTTGCCAAGTCAACAGCCATACTGTTTATGCGCACTGCATGAGTATTACCAAGAAAACCTTCAAAGTTGTGAAGTGACATGCTGTACAGGACCTCTTCATGTTAAATGTCTCTATGTACCTCCGATGTACGTGTCAGGGATCTTGTGCCTCAAAAAAAAAAAAAAGTTCCCAAGGTTGTCTTTATATACTGTATTTTTTTTCAGTTTCATAATGAACAGCATTATTATTTCCAGTTAAGAAAAACAAAAGAGAGTATCTTCTTTTAAAAACTTTTTTTAAGAATGAACTTAAGGAAAACCCAGTTGTGCTTCTACAGATGAATTCTACTATTAGATGAGAAATTAGATGCTCTATTTTTATGAAGATAAATGCTTAGATTAAAAATAACTTCAACTTTAATTCTCAAGCATACACAGTTCCCCTTTCATATCAGCCAGTCATTCAAACTATTTTTTTTCACTTTCAAGAAATCTCCAGTGTTACTAAAATTTTCTCACCGAAAGTGTAATTTAATGCCGCCCCCCTTTCTGTGGCACTGGGGATTGAACCTAGGGCCTCTAGACTTACCTTAAAATCGGTTCATTGAATGTGTGGATACTGTAACTTCTGAAATATGTCTCACTACCTACTGCCAAGTCCACTCATCCTCAATTTGGATGAGGTTTTCCATGACAAAACAATAAAGCCCCAACAGTATTCTTACTTTGAAAATGATCCATTATAAAGATTCTTGAAAAGTATCACATATTCTCTGTAAGATCTTATCTCCCATACTTTCACAGATTTAAAACAGAACACCATCTCCCTGTAAAGTGAACCTTCCCCAAGAGTGAGGAGGGAGGGAATTCTGGGTGTGAGAAACTTTGCTCTTCTTATCTATCTAGTGTTGAGAGTTTGGCTTGCAGTTGTGATCTCTGTCATAGTTTTGGTAATGCTAATGGCCACAAACCAAATCATACAGAAATTAAAATCCTTACCTGTCTGTCATGACACCAGTCTTTCCATGTTTATTTCTTAGAAGCAGTTCTAAAATATTTACCTTTTAACTTTTTTGTTACTTAAAAGAGTGAAAAATCAGAACTTCTGCTGATGAAGATATTTGTATGTTATCCATTTATTTTTCTGTGGCCAATGCAGTATTTCATTTGACAGAATGACAGCAGATTATAATGTTACTGTTGCTGATGACTTGTGAGACAGGGATACAGGCAGGTGACCCAGAGCTCCTCCCTCCTCCCAGCGCTGGGGGAAGCGACACCGTGCTGACTCTTACAGAGGAAACACATTTTATAACGTGGACGTTGGGATACCTTTTTGAATTGATACACAGTTCACTATTTCGGGAAAATTCAGGACCCCGGGTAATCTGCCTTACTCTCTTGGGTTACATCTGGTAGGAATATGGCTTCAGGAATTGGATGTAAGTATTTTTGTTCTGTTTTGGTATTGAATCAAGTGAGCCAGCCTATGAGAACCACCTCACCACTTTGTTTTCTATTTTGCTTTTTAAATTCAGGCCCAGAATTATTTTCAGTTAAGAGCAGTGACCTATATATGTTCCCACAAATAACAGTTTTGCCCAGTTACCATGGTCACATGACAACAAATCTCTTCCTTACATATTAGCGGAAGCAGACAGTCTGATAAAATCACATCTACCCTGGTGGTTTTCACTAGGTGTCTATTCCCCACCGGCTGCCTGTGGTTGTTTAAAAGTTTTGCTTTGTCCCCTAAACAAGTCAAATCAGAAAGTTGAAACTTCTCTGAAATAAGGAAGCTGCCATCTGATAACTCACCTGTCAGTTGTCTTAGTCTGAAATCCACTGTGGACACAGATGCTGGGAGGTCCTCATGGCACGGGGGAAATCATATGATGCCTTTGAACTAGAGAAAGAAATCATGACTGATGGGCTGTTTATCAAAGAAAGGGAGAAAGTATGCACATTCATTGTAACATTCTTTCTGGTTCTCAGTGAAGATGTCGTTTAATTCTTTGCCAAAACAAGGGTTTGAATGAAGTGACTTTTTTTCCTTTTTCTAAATACATTTTCTGCTGTAGACCTTTGAGCTGGCTCAGAGAATAAAGGTGCCTGCTCCAAGCCTGGTGGCCTGAGTTTCCTCCCTGGGACCCACAGTGTAGGAGAAGAGAACCTACTACTGCAAGTTGTCCTCTGACGTCCATATGTGTACACGTGCACATGTATATACACACACACACACACACACACACACACACACACACACAAAGCTAATCAAAAGGTAATTAAAAATTAAATTTCTGTTTGTGTTTTATGAAAAGGTATTCACTGAGAAAATCTTATTTATAAAATTTAAGTACAGAGTTATCTATTAAAAACTTACATTCCCTATAACCATCTTAATACAGAACGGAAGCATAGCCAATACAATAGTCTCCCTTTGGAGACTCTGAGAGCCGACGCAGGCTCTGTGCCATTGTATTGGGCCTCGCCCTGTTCCTTTATACACCTGTCAGGTAAACAGCACTCTAGATTTCTTGCCTTGGGTTTGCATATTGTCACTTGAGAAGCAAACTGTCACAGTGTTGTTTTTCAGGAGGTGGAAGTGTACTTAAGATTATTTATTACAATATGAAATACTTCTATGTAAGTGCATTGACGTAAATGCTAGTGATTCCCTGCAATCTTTTTTTTTGTCTTGTTTTGCTTCTCATGGAAATGTTTGTACTTTTTTTATCATTGTCTTTTATGAAATATAATGTTCTAAAGACTTTGTGTGGTGATGTCATTATTTTCTCTCAGGATGTCCTGGGAATTATCTCCCCCCCCCATCCCAATTTTGGATGCATTATTGATGACTAAATTGATGTTAAGGGCACACTCTAAAGATATGGAGCTCAGGCTTAAACACCCTCACTTAGTGCTTATTGTAACTCCCCCAACCACACCATGATTTAATACTCATCCATACACCTGGTAACTCATAGATTCCAGAATTACTCAGTCAGGGTTGAGATGAACGAGCGGTCAAGTGTTTTCCCCACAGATGTGAGAGGATCTACGTTTGTCCCCAGAACGCATGTGATGCCAGACTTGGTAACACATGTCAAATCCCGTGGTGAGATGGGAGATGGAGACAGAATTCCTTGAGGCTTGTGGGCCAGCTGGCCTGATGTTTGCAACAGTGAACAACAAAAAAGACCCTGACTTAAACAAGGTAGAAGGCAGGGATCAATATTTGGAGTTGTCTTCTGACCTTCACTTGCAAGGTTTCACATATCCCAGGTTGGCCTTGAACTCACTGTGTGGCCAAAACAGCCCAGAACACCCTATCGTCCTGCATCCACCTCCCAAGGGCTGCGATCTGACTGGGGAGATGGCCCAGTCAGGGGCACACACTGCCCTTCCCGAGGACTAGAGTTCAGTAAGTACGTACCAGATAACAGATGACAGGAGTGTACCAACACGCCCAGCCTTCAGTCTTAAATTATATTTTGATGTCCTTGAAGTATGTTAATTAATTTAATTAGTTTAATCTTCAGTGTTTCATCTTGTATTCCAGAGGCCCTTGAAGGGGTAGCAGCTAATATGACCCTCAAGAAGCATCCAATCTTCCGAATGTAAATCTGATAGAGTGGGTGGACCTGAGGAGCACATGCCATCCACGAGGCTGCACTTGCTCATGTGTGTTTCTGAACCTCACTGTTGGGGTCACTCTTCCATTGGTAGACTGCTTCCCAGCCGTAAACATGAACTCTGAAAGGGTAGTTGAAATGATTGTTCTTCTGCAGTAGATCTTGATGGATGATAGTAAATTCTTGGGGAGGCTCGGTGGGAAGACTCATCCATGATTGACAAAGGTTTGAATTTGGAGATCACCTGTCATTAGCTAGCAAACAGTAAGCTTTTCAAGTTGGGCCATTCTTGGTTGAGTGAGCCACTGGAGGGTCCTGGGGATGATTAAATAAGCTAACACTGGGAACAGGCCTGACATTCCCAATAAGAACTAGATTTGTCTGAAGGCACTTCTGGCTTTATGATAAATAGCCTTTCTTCCATGCCAATGGCCCTGGGTTATGTTTGGGAAATATTTGGCATGGTATTCTTTGATTGTCAGAAATGTTGACAGAGGTTTTGCATAATTACACAAACAATTAGTAAAACTAGCAAAGGCCCATGATCAACATGTGTAGTAGTCGTAGAAGAAATGTGGCAACTAACAGGTGCAATACAGTTACCTCACCGCCAGCTAACGCAAAAGGGCCAAGTAAGAAGACAGGGAAGAACATTTCACCTCTTAACCATGCCCTGTCAGTACCATCGCTCAAACATTGCACGCGTGCGCGCACACATACACACGCACATACACGCGCGTGCGCGCATGCACACATGCGCACACATACACACACACACACACACATACGCACACCCACATGCGTGCACACGCACACACACAAACACGCACACGCGCACATACGTGCACACCCACATGCGCACACACACACACACATTATTATGGTGAAAAGGCTGAGACAAACTGTTTATGAGTTCTCTTTATGGTAATCTCTCTCACACCCAGCCTCTCTGATTTTCTTATTTTGATGTCTTTTGAATATTTTGTAGGCTCACGGGGCCAGCTTACAAAATGGTTACTGCAGAGACTGTTACTTCACTTATTACACCCAGGAGCATGCCAGCCTCTTTCCTCTTAGCTCCTCTTTTGATTCTCACATCTCTCCAGAAGTGAGAGCAGGCTTGGGAGTGGGAGTAGGTTCATTTTGCAGTTCCAAGAGGGTCCCGGGCAGAGGAGTGGGGAGACGTGCTGCTAGGCACTCCTGCTTGTTCAACAGCAACCCGAAAAGGGAAACCGTTGATGGACTGTTGAGGATTTGTGGAAGTCCACACATCTCAGGACTTCTCATCCCACAAAATCCTTTCTAGAAGCCAATTTGTCACAAGAATTTTTTTCTGGGGAAGATGTGAATGACAACCACTCCCTCCTCTAAAGGTGCTGATCACAAACCAAAGTACATTCTGCCTCAGTTCACCCTGGGAGCCAATGAGTTTATTAGGGTTACGTACTTAGCAGGGGGGATGAGTTACTGAGCAGGAGCAGGAGTGACCCCCCCCCCCAAAGCAGCCACACTGGAAAGTCTCCACCACACGTGGATGGTGGCCTCATTGTCACCCCATAGATGGAGCCTCTTACCCCTAGTTTTTCCCAGCTTATATACTAGCTATGGGCAATTAAGGCAGCCTTGCATACAATGGCTGGAAGGAACAGCCATATACTCAGGTTGAGGGTTCCATGACCTGCTCACTCTCCTAGGAGAAAATGTTTACAGTTCTGTCATGATGGGCTCTCAAGTCCTGATCTCAAGAAGATGGTGGCAATTTGGCTCAGAGGATACTACTTTACAACACATTTTATAACTTTAGATTTTAAGTCCGAAGAAATTCAACAAAAACTTTAAATATAAAGGTCTTACCTACCCACGAGTGTGCACACACACTGATTGTATAGTGTGAAGGGTCTCACTGCTTCAAAGAAAAAAAGAATATGGCATTGCCTGTATAGAGAATTTTTTATAAGGAAATAAAAGCTATCCAAAGGACTATTAGGAAAAACGGGAGGAAATAATCAAGTAATTATTTGTTAATAATGAGTTTTTAGTAGCTACTTATCTAAAAAATTCTTTTAGAAGTCATTACTGGAAGTGGATGTAATTTCACTCTATGCCCTGAAGCTATAAAGCATTATAATTACGAATCCCACTGAGGAACAAATTGTACAGGAATCATGGAACCAGGAAGGACACATTCAAGCCCTTCAATTCACTTCTTTTACTTCTATTAGATAAGAAATAGAGATAGAAAATCTCCCTCCCTCCCTTCCTCCCTCCCTCCCTCCCTCCTTCCCTCCCTTTCTCCCCCTCTTTCTTTCTTCCCTTCTTTGTCTTGTTATGTAGCCCAGGCTGGACTGGAACTCACAATCCTCCTGCCTTCCTCATGCCTGCTCAATATAAATAGAATTGCTGTCTCTCCCCTGGGCAGTCGTACCAGGCTTTCTGTGCCCCCAATCCAGCCCCTTAGCCACAGGCTGAGCTTCAAAAAGCCCTGACCAGTCACCACCCTCCTTGCCTTCACCAGCTTCCCCATTGCTCTGGATTTTAAAATTTTCCTAACAAAGCTCTCCAGGCTTCTTGCCTGACATGTCCCAGGTTCTAATAACCAAAGCACCACCTTTCTGTGAATATTGTCAATCTCCATCTCAAGTCCTTGGCCCTTCACTACTTAACTTTCTTTTCATGACTGGGTTTTGCTATTTTCTTTCTTAGTAGATCCTTGTAGCTTCTAAAGATTAGCAATTTGCTCATCTTTGTGTGGTCCTTAGTCCCCAGGAGATCAGAATATGCTTTTCTATTTTGCCGCTATGGGATTTAAAACATTTTTATGACAATGTTGACTGGCTCTCCCGCCAGCTGGCCTGTCTTCCATCTTCCTGCCTTTTTTCCACTCACCCAGCCCCTACCCCTGTGTACGTGTGTGTATGGTGTATGCATGTGTATGTCTTCATATGTGTACACATGTCAGAGGTCCATGATGAGTGTCTTTACTCTCACTAGCCCCCTTATTTTTTGAAACAGGGTCTCTCCATGAAGCTGGAGCTCACTGATTTGACAAGACTAGTTATCCAATGAGCTCCTGGTATTACCGCCCTAACACCAGGATTATAGGCATACACCACCACACCCAGCTTTTTATGTGGACTCTTGGCATCCAATCTCAGGTCCACATGCTTACATGGCAAGGACTTTACCAGCTGATCTGTCTCTCCACCCCTGCTCCTTTCTTTCCCTTTTTCTATAGCAATTACATCCGAATCCTTCTGTTGAACTCCCCACCCCCTGGGCAGGTTTCAATGACCTCAGTGGGGTTCTGGCCCCAATAGTGTCCAGATCCCACTCTGTGGGTCCCCATCTCTGGTGCTTCTCTAGTTAAGCTTGGGACAGCAGAAGGACTGTGCTTTCGAAGACCCTGGTTCAAAAACCTTTCCATGACCTTTTGTTGTACCTTTGAAAGAAGCACCTACTATTTTGTCCTGGCCCTAGTCAGAAGGACAGTTTTCATAGACAGTTTCTACACATATTTTAAGTTCTTACAGTCAGTCCAGGGATGTAGAAACTGGCCCTGGTTCATAAAACAGGTTCCCCCAGAAGAGGTAGCAGATTTCTCATAGTACCAAGTCTGTATGTTGGAGAGAAAACCTAACTGGTCAGTCACAGGAGGTGGAAGACTCAGATTTGCCCACCTGGAACTAATTTCTTCATTCATTCATGTGTTGGTTCATTCATTAATTCATTCCATATGTTTGAAAAGAATGCTACTCCATGATGCTTAAAACCTTTATTACTTCCTATGTGGTAGGTGTTATTTTACAGGAATTGGGAAACACATCTAATGTGCTCTCCAAATGCACTTTCCTGAGGAAACCAGTGAACACTGTTGTCCTTCCGCTCAGCACAGGTTCTCGTGCGGACAGCGCTTCTGGGTTCACCTTGTAGCTTCAGCCTTGGCCTTCCCTCCCCTCATACCCTGTACCTGTGTCTATGATCTCTAGCTTCCTGGGAGTGAATAAATGGCAGCAACAGCAAGTGGTTGACTGCTGAACTGGGACAAGGTGCACAACCCTGGGATTTACTGAGGGAAGCCCGTGTGCAGCCCATCTCCTTGCCCGTATGAAACCCATCTCCTTGCTCGGAGAGGTTCT